GTTAATAATTTTTGCAAATAGATTGTCATTCATGTCGCTATAAACATTTAAAATATATGACTACTGAACCTACCTTGCAACATAGTTGACTGCATATAGTACGACGTTTTTTAGTCGACGTCGACGAGGCACTTCGTTCATTTCTGGAATTTGACGTTTATGGAATATTTCTCTCATCCCAAATTTGGAGTGGGTATTTTACCCTGTCGGAATATTTCGTGAGGGGACAGCTATTGTACGCGCACGTTTTCTTGAGCCTCGGAACACCTACCCCCACTTCTTTACTAATATTAGTTGAATTAAGAATAAATTATGGCAACGGGCGTTGTGAACAAAATCTGATAACCAGAAATGTTCGCTCCCGTGTAATAGAAATTATTTTGTATCGTAAATCGAGCTACAGATTTGGTATATAAGTTCTGTTGACGAAATAGCCAACCACCCCACTCCTCTTGCATCTTGCTAAATGAGGGCTCAAGAAATCGTGCGAAGATTAATTTAGTGATGATGAGAGTTGCATCAATAAAAATAAATGTTGAGATTTTCTTTGCCAGTGTTCAGGGCCTATGCACGTTTTTTTTGTTGTTTTTTTTTGTTTTTGTTTTTTTTTTTAAAAACAACCCACAGAGAATCGAATGACAAAAAAACATCTGTCCAATTTTCTCCAAAACTGATATTCCCCCATTGATCTGGCTGATGTCGTGGCTCGTTGAATTTGAAACCGATATTTTAATTTTGAGGGGTACTTAATATGAAGTTCCTGAGACATTTTCCATATTTAAAAAAATGGATCCATCGTTTTTGATTAAATTTTGTTGTTGGATAATGTGAGGGAAGTTTAAGAGAAAGGTGCAGGTCTCATTTTGGTTAAAAACTCAGATTTTTCGAAAATTGCAAAAGCCCAAAAATTCTTCGGTGTTTTCCTACATTTAAAATATTAAAGGTATAGATTTTACCTTGATGAAGTCTGTTCCCTAAAGATAGATTTTGAAATAAGGTCACGTACAATTTTTCGAAAATTTGAGTACTATTTGCGTGAAATATAGGCAATTTTTAATTTTGTTTAAACAATTTTTCTCAAACACGGCACCAATTATTTTTATTAAATTTTGACCTCGAATAGCGTATAAGACACTTAAGAGTATGGTGCAGGTCTAATGTTCATTGAAAATTCTAATTTTTGAAAATTGCAAAATTCAAATTATTCTTCGTTTTCACAACTATGAAGATTTTTTTTATGGAATGTATTCATCAAAAACAGATCTTCAAATAAAGTCATGTCAATTTTTTTGTTTAAAAAAGAGTATTATTTGCGAAATGTTGTGTCATATACAATTTCTATTTTCTTTAAACCATTTCTTCTTAATAATGGCAGAATTTTTTTATTAAAATATGACTTTAGCTTATAGGACGCTTAAGAGAATGGTTCTGCGGTAATGTTCGTTGAAATGCCTGATTTTTCTAAAATTTAAAAAATAAGTTTTTTCGGCATCTTTCTTCAACTACAACTGTGAAGATTTTTTTCTTAATGAAATGTATTAATGCATCTTCTTTGCCTAGTTCGTCTCCGGTTACCGTCCGTTTTCTCATGATTAGGCCTTTTAGCATTTCTTAGTTTTTACATGGACGACGAGGAGCTGGCACGTCATCCCAACCCCCTACTAGGAGGATCAGGATTTTTTTTAGGGTTTACTCCCCTAGGAGGATAGCTTCACACAGCTTTTGAGCTCCTCCTGCCCAGATCTCTTTTGGAAACATCTTGTTCCGTTGGCGAGATCATACCCGTACCCTTCATCCCTTGGTAGAAATGTAGGCTAGGATTTCTGCCTAACTCTTCATCCTTTCGAGATCCTCTTCCGGGCACTGTACCGGATGTTCTCTTCTTACGCCCCCGTAAATATGGCAGCTCTCAGAACAACAGAAAAGAAAATTGAGAGCTTTGGAAATGGATTTCCTCGGAATAGTTGCAGCAATATCTAGAAGGGAAAGAATTAGGAATGAACAGGTTAAGGAAATAATGAATCTGCAACATGATATTATAGAGGAAATTGAAAAGAAACAACTCACTTGGTTTAGCGAATGGACGAGAGAAGACTACCCAGAAGATCCCTAGAATGGCAACGAAGTGAAAGGAGAAAACGAGGCAGACCAATACCAGGATGGAACGACCAGATCAGAAAGAGAATCGAGAAGTGGAAATTACCTCCTGATTCTTGGAAGAACAGGGAAGACAGGAGAAGAAGATAAGGCGCCGGAAGACCGAAGTAGCGGTTAAGAAAATGGCAAAAAAAAGAAGAAGAAGAAATGTATTAATCAAAAAGAGGTCTTTAAATAAGGTCATGTTGAATTTTCCGAAAATATGAGTATTTTTTCTGTAAGTTAGCGTCAAACATAGTCGCCCGCTTCGAATTCCCTGCGCTTCGTGAATGTAATAAAAGTGATATCTTCGTCTGCAGTGTCATGATCAAATATCGATCTCATAGCAGATGTACATTTATTTACATTGTATGCACAAGGATAGCATGCTTTGAAGTACAGAGCATTTTAGTTTCATACTGGTACGAATGTGATGTCGCGGGGACGCGCGACCCACCACTGGACAGCAGACAGCGTCTCCTCTGTCTCTTCAAGGAGCGACCGAAACACAACGCCCTCGACCGCCCTCTGTGGCCTGTCACGTGATGCTACCATATGCTGGACATAATCCCTCCACGCTGAAGGGGTACAGAGGAAGAAAAGTCCGCCTTTCAGGGGAAGTCGAGGTTGGTCTTTGTATCGAAAAAGGATCGTTCCCCTCCCCCGCTGTTAGCACTAGCTTAAAGGCGCCTTCACATGTCGCCACAGTGGCGTGCTTCCGATAAGCGGCAGGCTTCTTCCGACGCCGCCACCGCTGCGCGCCACGGCCGCACCGCCGCGGAATGGAGTGGGTTCTGAAGGGGAAGGTTCGCGGACTCTCCGGCGACGACAAAGGGACGCAGGTAAAACGCCGCGACCGGCGGCGCAGTGGGAATATCATCATTTAAAGCTGTGTTCTGCTGCGGTGGCACATATGCCCTCCTACGCTCTCATCGTGAGAGTGCGGCGCCAAACGCCGCAGCGGCGCAAACCCGCCGCTCGTGGGAAATCTCCATTCAAACCAATGCTCTGCTACGAGCCGCTGAGTTTGGAAGCGCGCAGTGGTGACGACGTAAGAAGGGGCCCTTAGTTGACAAGGCCCCATGCAGATGGGTTTCCTGTCGGGGCGAGATCGTCTCTCATTGAAAGGATGAGAGCTATTGTCTGCAACGTTGCAGTGATTCCAGGCAGTTGGATGTTATATAAGTTAGAATTTGTATATTATTTCACATTTCTGTGTTCGTTTCTTACATTCGAACTTTTTTTACACGTTTACCAATTAATCTTTTAGATATTATTTAAAACATATTTGAAATAAATGAAAGAAAAATTGCTAGCCTTCAGGGAATATCAAATTGGAATGGAACAATGGATTTTCCGCGCCGCGAGAAAGTAGCTGATTTTTTGTGAATTACGTCTCATTGTTGGTTAGCTGTATGAACAGCAGTTATAATTGTTAAATTAATATTGATATTCGCATGAAAATATTTTGTTTTCACACAAAAAGTTCTATCATTTTTAATGGGTTTTACAAAAAACTGACTGCGATGTGTTGGTTTGGAGAGAATTTGTATAACATAACCATTTCTAAAAGAGAGAAAGTACGTGCTGTTTTAGCTCCACCACCTAGTTACGGATAAAATAATGGACGCTTAAAACAATGGTGGATGTCTCATTTTCGTTGATTTATCTGAATTTTCGAAAATTGCATGTTGGAAATATTGGGTCAATGCAATTAGATTCAGATTAATAAGCGTCGGCCCGTGTCAGAATGCCAAAACAACTGCTTGGTGCAGCTGTAAGGCGGACGGCGTGATAACTCTGTAGAAAAATAATTGCTGATTGAAAATATTTAGCAGTTTCATGAAGTCGTCTAATATTGCGAAGTAGTTACACAAATCGTCCATTGAGAAGAGGGACATTCAGAGAGATTTCACCACTGACGGATCCGGTGGGGGGGGGGGGCATGGCCCTCCCAAGAGGGCCTTGAGTTTTTGTTTACCTTCCTTCATTTTAATTGACTTAAATATCGATTAATAATCGAATTATGAAATTATTTAAACAATAATATTGTATAGTCTCAAATATACAGTATATAAATATTATACAATATAGTAACAAATATGTTCATTATTTAACACAAATCTAGGATGGCCCCCCTCTAAAATGATCAGCTGGATCCACCCCTGGATTTCACGGTATGTAAGTACTTAGTACAGGAAAAAGTAAAAATTGTATGTAATTTGCTGAGATAGTCTAGGAAGCAAATTTGTATAAAGAATAATAATAGCAATAATAAAGTTAAGGAGAGGAAGACAATGACCCCTTCACCAAAAACTATAGAGGATTCACAAAAAATATCATTTAGTAGTTGGGAAATTATAAGAAAAGACATAGGTAGTGAATATAAGAAATGCAATGGTCAGAGAAGCATTTAATAACTAACTCTTACTAAGCAATATTTAATGAAATGCTATAAAGTCCCTATTCTATGTAGTTCCCTGACTTGAGACACTTAAAGGAACTAAACTGAAGAAGCCTAGCAGCAATTGCAAGGGTAAGATGTATTTGATATGGTTGAAGATAAGAAAATGCTCTTGTATATCTATTTCTTATCGTAAGTTCTTTGCAAAATCTAAAGATTGGAAAAGACTTCAAAAATAAGTTGTCTACTCAAAAATGGTACACAGATTAATATATGGAGATAGGCTAAGAAAATATAGAACAATAAGATAGTAGAACATAGTGAGAAAAATAGGTTTTTAGGAGCAGGAACATCAGGTTGTAAAAAAAGCATTATTAGAGCCTATTAAAAATTATAAATGGAGATAATTAAATTAGTTACACAGGATTCGAGATTGTAACACAATTAACAGTACAATAGATTCTTTTCCAATATTTTATTTTAAAAACAAACATAACAACAACAAATTATAAGCAGATCTATTAAGGAATTCTTTCCCTTGAACAGGTGTGCCTGCATTTTAAATTCACAAGTATACACAATAATCAACTACCACATGACAAAACTCATTGTGTCTTAAATAATTATCATGAAAACAAATGGTCTATTTATCTACTTAAAGGAAATCACGTTTCTAGTCTGTTGTTTCCAGGTAAAAACTCTCAGAAAATAGTTATCCTAAGAAATTTTCAAAAAGAAACACTGGTACAAAGTTTTTCTTAAAAATAAAGGGCATAAACAGTTTTTCCAATTAAGAATTTAAATAGACCATTAATTATTAATGATCTATTAACAGAAACTAAATAATTAGTTCCTTATCGGGAACTAATGTTGTTTTTATCAGTCATCTAATAAGACAAATGTAGTACATGATATTTAAAATGGTATCTGAAACACTTGTATACACTTTTCTCTTTGAGACACTTCATTGTTTTACTCTTGAAATTAGTTTTTTTTTACTTCAACCATTCACTATAAATATTACTTTCAATGACCAACAAATCAACAAATATGGTCTCAAAATTAATTATTCTTATCACAGTTGCTCAATAAGTACTTATAAAATGTACTGATTTATGATTTCTAAACGCACAAATTCATAAAATAATGTATGAAACTCATCCATATTTTACACTATATTACTATGTACACAATATTTTTACATAATGATCCATACACGTTTTACAAATATATCTCATGTATTTTCCTTTAGAAAATTTTAAAAGAATATATTTTTAAAGTATCATGAATTCTGGTAAATTACCAGATGATGGCTCTTTTGAACTTACCACTCAGATGAATAAGAATTATTACCCTTTCTTGTTCAATTACAGTAGTTGTATCATGAAAGCTTTTTCAATATTTCCACGACTGTCAATCATTCAAAATCATGGGATTTGGAATATGAATACCCACATGTACAGAACATTAAATTCTTCATTTTTTTAAAAAAATATTGCAAAATTGCCAATCATTGTGAATACATATTTTGAATTATTTCAGAATTTTTTCAAAATGTACGTAACAATAATACTCACAATATTTTTACACAGATTTAGAGAAAAAAAAAGCAAAAATTGTAAACATTGTATCAGGGGTCATTTTATGTATATTTAAATAACAAATATCTTTTCTGTTTTCTTGCTGTTAATTTTTAACTTCAAATTGCATGAATCTGTATGGCTCAGAAGCCCTGAGCTTGAAAAATATGAAAGAAGCAAAACCTCATGCAATGTTAAAAGCCCTTCAATAATTGTTGCAACACTGTAATGCATAATGCCTTACAATTTCAATAAAAAATGTAGTGTACGAATTATTTATTAATTAGAGTAAAGTAGGATGTTTGTAACGTAGGACATGTGGAAGAAAATCTGGCAACACAAAAGAAAATGCTCTGAGGTGGAGTCAGATGAAAGGCTAAGAACGTATAGACAAAGTGCAAAGCTTTCATGAGGGTGAGCTAAAACGTCAAGAGAGAGACCTAATAACATGGGAGGAGGACCAGAAAGAAAGAATGATATATGTAACGATGATATTGTAAAACGGTATTGACAAAAACCGTGATGATATTTTAAGGAACAAGAAAATAATGATATACAATGATGACAAGAAAATAATGAGGCAAACTATTGTAATATTTTCAAAACGGCAATTTTCTAGCCAATTAACACAATTTATGATTTTAATTTGATTAGGAGGCCTCTTCAAAATAAGAGGGTGGTTTTATATGCAGGTAAATATGGTTAATGTCAAGATCTTAGCACTAGTTTATAACCATTATAAGAAGTCATTACATGGATGCCTCAATGACAGTAATCAAGAAAGTTTCATTTAAAAAAGTACCAAACAGATTTTTAGACCACCAGCATGCTCATGCTTCTCTACAATAAGTTACCAAGAAATGCATTAGTAATTTTGTACTTATTTTCTCCGTGTGTTACTTTTTTTTGAGTCAATGTAAGATAAGCCTTAAGAATTCATTTAGTGTACATATACAACTACAGGAAAATTAAATACAATTAGCATTATTGTAAAGTTGAATTCTCCATTTCATTAAATGAATTAAATATTTCCCATTTACTTTTAATGACTCATAGACTGAACTTACACTGATCAATGGTTTTCTGATTATAAATAAGTGGACAAGGCTTTTGGAGACACATCTGACATTATAAGTTCATGTATTCATTGCTTGTCTAGAAAAGAAAAAAATCAGTAAATTGGTATAGGCTACACTTCTTATTTTAAATTTCATAAATACATTTAAAAGCCATATTTTGCATTTGTTTGAAATAAAAATTTTAAAAGAACATTTCTTTTGAAATTTTCTTATAGCTTTGATACCCAAGTCAAAATTACTTCCCTATTTTCTGGAAATAAGTTTAAATAAGATTGATGATGAAATAAATAATTGTTGACTCTAGAACATTAATAAGTTACCGTTTGTCTTCTGTAACAAAATCAGAACTGATGTACCAAAACATGTTTATGCAAGCAATGAAACCTTTTAATAAACACTATCTTATAAAGTTAATCTCAGAGAGACATTTTAAGGAACTCTTAATATAAAATGTCTAAAACCACAAAGTGAATTTTAGAACAAGTAGAAACAATTTCATTACAACACAATACTGCAAGTATATGTTTGTACTTCCATTGAAGCATGCATGGCAAGATATTAGTACAAACTAATCTCTACCATTAACACTAGAATTTATCAAATGTTGAAAATGAAGTTGTGTTTCGATTGTGCACTACAGATGATTGATCCTCTTGCACTGTGAATGTGGAGACACTTCTGAAAAATTTTTAAATAAGGAATAATACAAAATACATTACTGTTGCAAAAATAAAGTTAATACAAAACCATAATTTTAGTAATTAATTTTGTTAGATTATGAAAAGGAGCGTTATGAAATAAGTTAAATGAAAATTATTAATAATGCCTTCACCTTTTTTGGGAAAATGGATGTAATTTACAGTTAATGTAAACTTAGTATATGATAAAGAGTATGGTAAAGAGTTAATGCCCTCTTTTAATACTAACCATTCCAAAATATTAATATGTTATCCAGATACCTCCGGGCTTAAAAAAAAAAAAAAAAAAATTAAATATTTACAGTTATAAACGTTAAATAATCAGCTTTCTCTAAGATGTTATTTCAAATAGACTTATATAAAATTTCAAAAGTAAATTTTTTGGCACATTAAAATTGTAAATTAGAATGTGAAGTAGACAATACTTTTGATTTGTTTTTTCTAAGGACAATCATACACAAATATACATCTAAATTCATTTACATAAAAACTCACAACACATAACAATGTCCTGCGTATTAGCTAATAATAGTAATAATAATAATAATAATAATAATAATAATAATAATAATAATAATAAAAACATTGATAGAAGCACATTTAGACAAAGATAAAATCGTTCAAAAGTGAACATGTTCATTTATTTCAATAGCGTCATAACTCAAAATTGGGCAGCAGTGAGTTACATTAGTAAGAAGAGAGAGGTTTGGTGAACTCTTCCTACTAGTATAATGGGAGTAAATTTATCCCAATAGAGGAGTTGTAGCGATGTTGCACCACTGTATCTCTAATCCGAACTTGAAAATTCACATGACTACACTGAAAAAACAGTTTCTTGAGTTATGGCACTGTTGCAGTAAATGAATGATGTGTTCTGAATAAGTTTTCTCTCAGAAGACATACTTGCATTTCCAAAACATTGAAAACAAATATTTGGTCAATGTACATGAACATCATTAACAAGCTCCAGGTTTACAAACAAATAAAATAACATGGTATAAATTTTACTCATTCTCATTTCTCAAGGAATGCAATTAGCACAACACTACTTTTATCTTACATGGACTATAATGTGATGTGAACAGGAAAAAATGTTTTGATGGTACTAAAATGCTTAATATAAACATCTTAATGCATATTGAAATGCAATGTACATTTTTGACTGATAATAAATGTAAAATTAAGAAAACATAGTCAATAATGATTGATTTAATGTTTAAATTAATACAAAATTATGTATTCATATAACTGAATACAATCATGTAGGCCTAAAATAATTACAACACTTTTGCAAAATAAAATGAAGAGCATAGAATAAAATATGCCATGATCTTTCCTAGAAACTTGGTAACTTCAGTAACTACATCACTTGAGTTACGAATAATGTCAATAAAGTCATACTGTTATAACAAATATTTTCACCATAGTCTCTGGCCAATTTCATTAATACATTTTCAGATATAATTAAAACTAAGTCTACTTATACTTGTAATCCATGTCTTCATGATAAATCATTTCATTTATCTAAGGCACAGTGATCTCTGTATTCCAGAGTTTGATACAATTATTGCTTGTATAAAAGCACACAAACAAAACCAATAATATGTTCTAATTAATGTGATAATTTGAATGAATAACCGCAGCAGATAAAATTAATGATGTGATTTCTGATAACTTCATAACCCTTAGACTTCCTGCCTGTCATGATTTGCAATGAAATACTTCATTGATGTCTTGGAACACTTTCAACTCGCACTTCACGTATTATAATGATGTTTTGGCCAATTTAATTACAGTCTACACCAATGATTATTCACAAGTTTCTCTTAAACTGTTCATAAGAAGAGGAGTTAATATAAGAAGAGTGCAATAAATTATTGTCTTCAGTTCCCTGATGCACATGTTAGATCATTCTTCATCTAGACTAAAAAGAAGAATACAGACTTGTTAATGCAGGAAAGAATTACTTGGTACAAGATAAAATTTTAAAAACTGTAAGAGAAATGAATGGTGCATTTTTGAAGAAATTTATATAATAGATTAGAATGGATAGATAAGAGTAGGACATTCATGTTCATGCAATTTTGAAGCAGTATGAGAAGAGAAATCTTTTGAATATCATACTCAAACGAAATCTGTCTTTCTTTCTTTTGATTTAAGAGCAAAAGATTATCAAAGAGGCAGGGATTAGTGCTGGCAGCATGCTTAACAAACCTAGTAAAATTGGGTGGCCACTAATTTCCTAGAACAAATTTCCCTGACTTATCACAGTTTTCCAGTGCATTTTTAAAATTCTTCACACATAAGATTTGTAGAATATTTCTCACCATTTTGTTTTTAAATATTAAAGCAAGCTAATTTGTCACCTCTCTGATTTCACTGTGATAAAGTACAAAAAAATCCTCAACAAATAAAAATTGTCAATATTTCTTGCTGGACTAACATTTTAAGCAATAATATATAGGTAATAATGTAGAGTTATATAAACATCTCAAAATGTTCTCCGACTTCTAATGATTCTTCTACTAATTACCTGGCTTTTCCAGATCACTAAAATTCCCTATTTTTCACAGTTTTCTAGAAAGTGACCACTCGGTAGAATCTAGTGCAAATTCTCAAATACAAACCAAAGCATATTACAGAAAATGAACATTTCTGGCACCTCAAACCAATAATAGAATCAGTATCCTGAGATATATATTATCCAATAACGCAATGCATTAAGAGATACATGAAAAGATTTATACTTTGCAGCAAGTTTCTTCTGAGTGCTAACTATGAAGATTGTACTGTACATAACATTGTATTATGGTTTGATTATTCTGTGAGATTCAAGTATAAGGTAACATAGATTTGAGAATATTGATGTACTTAAATGCATAATCTTTTATTTCTAATAAAGCATTTTTATCTTAAGAAAATTCTAAATCTCAAAATAAGTTTTATATATTTCAGATATCACACATCAATTTAAATGTAGCATCTCTAACTTAATTCGCCCAAGAAAAATCCTGATATAAAACAAGTCAAAATTACTCATAATTTCTACAGAATAGTTTTACAATACACAAGCACTAAACTACATTGCATCACAACATACAACATTTCACAATACAATACATGACATCACAGAGTACAGCTTAGTTTGCAGGATACAGAAAACAAGAAATTACTTTATACACAAGAAGTTAATGATTAAGGTACTGATCTTGAATAAAAATATTGTTTGCATGATAGGAAGAGAGAAAATACAAAATAAACTTTATCAACTTACCTTGATAATGACTTATTACTCAAACCAAAGTCAGTAGGAACAGGACCATCAATATATTTTGATATTAACTAAAACAAACCCAAAAAAGTGAAATATGTCTTACAGAAAGGTATTGCAAAAATTACACTTATGATGAGAGCAAAATAATCTTACAGGATGATTACTGAAGCGTGCTCCCCCGATGCTCACAATCATGTGTACAACAAGATATAAACACATTATTAAATAAGCAACTGCGAAGATTCCAATTAAAACCAACCATATTACTCTTTCAATATCTCTAAGTGCTGTTGATATGACGAAATAAATATTTATTCCAATAACTACAGCAGAAAGTGCAGTAGAAACTGCTATATTTGTCCTATCAAAAGAAAGAAATTTATTTAGTTCAAAACATACAATAATACAGAACAGCAACTATATCTACCAACCTTTCAACCCCTCCAAGTTAAGTTCACAATAGTCAAGTACCAATTTTGTTGTAAGTTGAAAAAATTATCATTCTGATCATAAATAATTAATGTTTTTAAAAGAAAAGCATGATAATAGTTCCTTAATGTTGGGCAAGGTCACCAGGGTGATTGCCCCAGGTGTCAGTCAACTGGGTACACTAGAATTCAGTGCATACACTACAATTTATGTAGAATTATGTGATTGTGCAAATTATGTTGACTTTGAGCACACCCAGTTGACTGGCAACCAACCCATTCATCCTGCTCAATAGGATGGCAGTGAATGTTAGGATTGACATACTCATGATATTCACCCTATGAATAATTGGTTTCCATGAACATATCAAAACCATTCAGAAGTGTATAATGCAGATCAGAATAAATCATAGTACATTGATGAAAGAATAAAAAATTATGTTGCCAAGAAGGGTTTTCCTGAGGCAAATATCTCTTCTTATGCGATACCCCTATCTCTTATGATTAAAGTAATTGATATGGATATATCTGTAATCATTGATAAACTGGACACGTCTACCCCATCAGTCAAAAATTGAAAAAACAAAATAAATATGCAACAACAATCCAGAATATATTACATTTGTTCATATTGTAAACAAGTACTTACTTTCCATTTTTAAATTCACCCATTATTAGATAGTTACTTGTAAATGCAATAGTTGGAATTGTTGCAAAAGGCAACTGAAGACTCATGACTGCATTGAGAATGTCATTCATGTCTGACAGATCATTAATATGAGCAAAAAATGCAACACAAAAAGTAGGAACAATGGCAATGGTCCTTGTGAATATAACACGTTTCCAGCGAGACCACTGAAGATTCAGAAAGCCCTGAAACAAATTTGTTTACAATAGACACATATTTGGAAAATGCTTCATGATAAGAAAACCTAACACAGAACCAATGACATTTACTGATGAAACAACCCCCTTTTCCCCCCCAGATAAAAAGGAATACTCTAAATAAGTTTTCAACAACAGAATTTCACATTTCACAAAATAAATTAATGATATAAATTTATTTTTAGGCAACTTTCAAAAATTTGGATAGAGAAAGCAAGCTTCTTCAAGGACCATTATAAATAACTATATGTTTCTAACACATATAGAAACAGTTATAAGAAACTTGTATTACTTGATTTATTATCTCATTAAACTCTAAAAATATAATTAAAAATATACCTCCATTGCAAATTGTCCAGCGTATGTGCCAGTCATTGTACTCGACTGTCCTGCTGCAAGTATTCCTATTGCCCAAATATACATTGTTGCAATTCCAAAGTGACATCCCAAGAAAACACCACCCTTATAAATGTCAGCATCCACTATATTCGTGTTGTTCTGTAAACAAATATGAAAAGAATGGTTCAGTAAGAAATGTAATTTTTAGAAATAAATATATAATAAAATTTACAATTGTAAAATGAAAATGTCAATTTAGAAAAAAATCATGAGTACATTTCTATTTATTCAATCTCCCACCTAGGGCAGCAAGTAGGCTAAATCCTACCTGTCCCATTCTCTTTTAGACTATTGAATAAAACAAAAATTCAAAAATATAATGATTACAATAATAATTGAAAGTATTTTAAAAATTTATACTTTATGTTAAAGCAACACTCACGGTTAACAAGTTTTAAAAAAAGTTTGATATAAAAACGTCATTCATTACATACTTCCACTCACGATGGACGCATCACACAAACTGCCATGAACTTATACCAAAACCAACAAACATCAGAAAACTCAAGTTGAAAAATTGAACAGCCACACTGCAGTACTCAAATGCCATGCTCCCATTGGCCTAGTTGACCATGCCATGACAACTCTAAAACATTTTTTCTCACCACTGACCTTACAATAAGAAGCAGAGGGCACAGTAGGAGACAAGTGATAATTTCATTTCTTCTGAAATACTGTGCTATTGTTTCTGTGATCCTAATTTCTGTGATATAATTGCTGCTCAGTTAGTTTGACGAATTGCAAGTACTTTATTGATAATGAAATGTTAATTGATGCAATGGAGAAGCTTAAGTCATGCAGTTGGATATTTTGAAAATCTAATCTTACATTGTTTTGTAAGTTAGTTCCATTCATTGGCTTTTTCATTCAGCAAAAAAGTCAATAATTTGTTCTTTAAAGCTCTCGTATCTGCAAAGTTAATTTGTGGACACTTCACGATAGCCGGTGTACCGAAATTACCATTCCTGATGTTTTCCATGGAATTTCTCAGGAATGTCTTCACTCTCTTTAATGTAATCATATTCTTTTCACATAATGCTGTAGGTATAGATAAAGTTAGAACTGAGTTGAATGTTTGAACTGATAATTTTTTTCTAGACCAATTTGTGGTTTCAAACTTACAGATCCTAGAGCTCAGTTGAATCAATCAGGGAATATCAATGTTTGCAAAAATTAACTGAACATAAACTAGCATTGGCCACAGGCAGACATTTTACTGTCAATCTATTTTTCCTTATCAAGGACCCACAAAATATGGAATTATGACTACATAACGTGATAGAGGAAGTAATTACTTTATTGAGGAACAAGATTTATCCATTTTTTTGTTACCATACCCAGCAATAAGGCTTTTTCCTCTTCAAAATTCAGTTTTCCGGCGCACAATTACAATAATTTCTTTTCTTACAAAGTAAGGGGAGAAAAAGTAAAAACAGTCATGAAAGAGTGATATTCTCTAAAACACTTTGAGCATTCACTTGTTATCCTCAATAGATTCTGCTCAATAATTTCTAATTTTTTGCTTTTTCAATTTTTATTTTAGATTTAATTAATGCTCTCCATCTTACTGGGCTTTGATAGATTCAAAATGTCAGACTAACAAATCTTCTAACATGTTTTTATCCATGTGGAGTTATTACTTGTATCAATTAATAATATGATGATAATATGAGGATCGTGTTTGTAGGACTGAGCATGTTTGTAAGATTTACACATTGTTCGGAAGGAGGTTTTGAAAAAAATAAAATTTTGCAACAAGTTCGATTGGCTCCATATCTCTAACAACATCCACATGTATATAATAACCAATCACAATTACTTAATATGCTATTATAACTTTTTTGTATAAGCCTCATTTTGGTTGGAAAAGGTTAATTTACCAATAATGCAAAGTAGATATGTAGTTCTAGTTCTCGAATGATTAAATTTTCATATCTTGACAAAAATCATTAAGACACTTACTGGAAAAACATCTCCATGTGAAATATTTCTTGCAATGCACTCGTTAAGCTAAAAACAAAAACAATACAAAAAAATTATTATTTTATCATTATTGGAATATACATCAAAATTAAATTTAATAAAAAATACGAGTACTTACTACATTTTCATTGGTTTGATTATACAGTCCTTTTGCAAATACTGATACCACAAAGACATTGATAATAAAGCTAATAAATAAAGCACCACAAGCCTCAATGAAAAAATATAGATTTGCTTCACGTACACGTTCTGGTTTTCTTCTATCAACTTCACGAGACTAAAAATGAGAGAATTTGCAATAAATTTTATGCAACAGGAATACAAAAATGTAATGAAATTCCAACAAAGGAAACAGTGTTCACTTTTATACATAAATGAAATAGTGTAGATGTCCCTATTTATAACAAATTGGAGAGTTTTATTTGGAAAAAGGTCCATTCTAGCAAAGAGATAATCATTTGTATATTTTAAAGATTTAAATGTTTATAACCCTTAACAATCCTTATTATTATGCTCTAAATTAGTACTGAAATGCCATTTGATTTACAACAGGAAAATATTATTCAATAAATTACATAAAATATTTACTTTAGCAAGAGAGTTTCAAAACACTACATGGTAATAGCTCCTGATTTCAATGTTCCCTCACATTAAATGTGACTAGCAATTGCATTTCTGAATAAATCACAACAAAAATGTAAAAAAGAAAGTAGGAAGAATTTGTATATATGATGTGTACATGTGCGAGGTAAAATTTGCTGTTCAATATCGCCACAGGCTTTGATAAATTATTTTTCTTAAGTATTTGCCACCCCAAATTAGGCAAAAGGAAGTATTACCTTCACTAATGCAGAATGGAGGTACAAATTATGAGGCATAATAACCGCACCAATAATGCCAACAGCCTTCAGAAGAACAGAGTTGTCACAGTTTTCACACCATGGGAAGAACATTCCTTTCATCACTTGGCCTTGGTCAGGAGCAGCAACTCCATACTAGAACAATCATATAATTTCATGTAGGTACACTGTTAATGTGTATTTCATGTCAATGTATTGATACAAAAATTTAAGGAACTCTCTGATGCAGGATGGGTAAGAATTTGGTGCACTGGCCGTTATTGCAACAAAAAAATTGATTAAGAGTCTGCCAAAGATCTTCAGTGTTTTCAATACCAGAGTAGGATTATAGTAACAGAAAAGCGAATAATTTACAACTAATGCATTTATTACTATTTCTACAAACCAATCAGAGCTACATTGTCTTGAAAATTACACTGCATGACACGATTTTGGTACCTGAGAAACTGATTGCAATTATTGCTTTCTGTTAGAGTATGTTGACAGAAGATGTCTCTTGGTTCCATCACATCTTGTTTTTGTGGTACACACTGATAGGTTTTGTCCATATTAGTCCATTGTAGTAAATGTCATTTGCAATAATGACACTGTGTAATGACCCTCGTAATCACTAAAATGATTGCTACTTTTGCATGACTGATGTAAGAGGATTTTTAAGAAATTCACGCATAATATCGAGTATCCTACAGTAAATTCTGTAATGAAACCAATATCTCATACCACAGACTTGCCTCCTTCTTTGCCTCAAAATAAAAGTCAAACTGATGGATGTTTACCTCCCCTACATACAAAAACCCGAATAAATAAAGAATTTTGTGAAGACTGAATAAAAATGGCAAAGTATTTTTTATATTAAAAGTCTATTTTTAAATATTAAATTATGCAAAGTTAAAAGATGGGATTTTTATCGTTTTACAAATACGCCTTTTAATGAAAAAACAAAATTTCGCCGAAAAAGTAAATGACAAAGTACAATGTCCATGAACATCATTTAAAGCCATGATAGAATTTTTTTTTTTTGAGTAATCACAGAGCTGAAGACGTGGAACAGCTCTGTTTTTGGGAACAATTTGTTAAATGTATATAATAAGATGAGTTGCCGGATGTCATTAGAAATTTATTTCGTTATTTCCCATTTCTCTTTCTTCCTTTCAAATCTTGAAGCTTTGAGTGATGAATAAGGAGAGCAGTTCAATCAGGATGTAAAAAGGCTAGAAGAATGGTTTCATACTTGTTGGGATGCAGCTATGTAAGGACATTACATCTGGCATTTAAAGTGCGATGATACTTCCCAACATACAAGGTAAAGTTGAATATTTTTCATTTTTTGTGTACAATCTATGCTTTATACTATATGTTATATATTTTAATGTGTTCAAACATATTATTATAAGTTTTGTCATTGTTTTTACTCAAATTATTGATAATTAAATAAAGCAATTTGTACACAGGATGTTTATTTCTTAATATTTTTTGTTAGGATACCTAAAAAACAGTATGTGATAGGAAAAAAGTACATGTGTGTTCTTAATAAGCGATGTGTATGAATAAATAAGCAGCAAAAACTGAAGCGGGAACTTAATCTTTTAAAAATTTGTAACGCAGTGTTATCACCATTGCTCTTTTGCACACATAAATTAAAAAAGTGATTTTGGCATTTTACCTCGTATCCAAATGTAACAGCCATAACACCAATTAGGAAAGCAAAGAAAAGCTCAAGTTTACGTAGTCCATATTTATCCAGGAGAAGAAATGTGAACGTGTCAATAACAGTAATTAAAACACCAGCCCAAAGTGGAATTCTGTAAAGAAAACAGTTTTTTTATTTATAACACCCTTAGAATACATTTACCACCATATATAGAAAGAAAAGTGTGATAATATTTATGCTAATATCTGATTAGCAGATCTCAAAATAAATTAATAAAAATTATTTTAGGACACAAAATTAAATACGCTTATCTATTAAATTCACTTACAATTTATTAGACAGAAGATATAAAGCAATTGCAGTTCCAATTACTTCTTGCATATCAGACCCAATAATTGCAATTTCTATCATTATCCATAATATAAGTCTTGGAACACGACGATATTGTCTGTAGCACATTTCCGCTAAATGAAGCCCTGTTACCACCCCTAATCGAGCAGACAACCTCTGCATCACCAGTCCCAAGACTGTGGCAGATAACAGAACCCAAAGAAGCTAAAATGTAAAAGTAACATTATTAAACCAATCACTAATTTAAAAATGACTAATAATGTCAATGAAAAGATTCAATACCAGAATAATTACCTTATATTGTGCGGCAGCTCCAGATTGTAAATCCGATTCAATATTTCCTGGATCTAAATAAGCTATACTCATCAAGAAACCAGGCCCGGTGAAAGCCCATAATTTCCGGAAACTAAAGCCTGTCTGTTAAATGAGAACAAGTCAGACTATAAATGATTTTCAATTTTTCCCTTATCTACATAAAACATTGATTAAAAAAAATAAAGTGGTAAAAGAATGACAATTTTTTTCACATTTATTACACAACTTACCGTTTCAGTCTCTGGAATGATTATTTTTTGATCAGCAAAGTATGTTTGCTTAGGAGCTGGAGACAGGAAAGTAGTTTCTGTGGGAACTGCACATGGAGAAATTGTATTGATGCTTTCTTCACTATTTCCTGTAGGATTTTTAAGTCCATCTCTTCTGTTATTATATTCATCCTTTGTCATAATTGAGTGATACCCTAAAACCAAAAGTTATGTTAACTGGAAACACCGTCACATGAATATAATGTTGTGTTGTTCAAAATAAAACTTATATTAGAAATTCATAATCAATTCCTTTAGATCTAATTAGATTAGTTTACAATTCATGTACAGAAATACATTGTGTCAGACTATTTTAGACAAATAATTGCAAATATTCATTTCACAACTATTTAAAAATTACAAAGGTTTTAATGCAAATTGAGCTTTAGGGGCGTTTGACCAATTACAAAGTACTGCATGTTTCTGGAGGATTTTCTAATTTCACATAAGAGACTTTGAATATCACATGGTTGTATACCTAGCAGTATGTACATAATTCCTAAAGTGGGGAGCAAATTTCCTGTCAATTTTTGTGCCAAGGATGATTTTTGAATTATCTCAGTGCCTTCTGTTAATGAATCGAATATATTTTAAGGGGCACATGACATAAAGTTACTATTTATATTTTTTATGGGTTCTGTATTTCTTTAAATTCTACAAATAAGCCATGGGAGTAAATCTATAATTTACTTTCAAATATTTATTTCATTTTTCGGTAAGTCGACTTTACACAATCTGCAAGCAGCGGTTTGCAATATGGTCATTCATTCAGCCTATTTTCCATTCGATCATAAGCATGTGCAATGGAGGGCTTTGACCACCCTGAAATTTTTGAAAAGGAGCCTCTAGTCTTGCATAATAAAATTTTATTTCTGTAGATACGTCTAATCCTTGATTTCTCCCTTTTCACTTTCTCGCTATCGCTTTCGCGGTGAAGAGAAAGTAATGTAATGCTGCGCGAAAAAACAGCTAATTTTCGGCACAAAAACTTTATTACAGGGCCCTGGTAACGAAAAAGTGGATAAATTCAGTTGCTAAATTTAGAAAAAAAATCCTCCAACAAGTGGGTAGCCCGAATCCATGTCTTGAGGGTCCTAGATACCGAAAAATCGAATGACGGCAAACCGTCCGTCCGTCCGTCAGTCAGTCAGTCAGTTCGTTTGTTCGTTCGTCCGTCAGTCAGTTCGTTTGTTCGTTCGTTCGTTCGTTCGTTCGCCCATCTGTAAACAACGCTAGCGACTAAACTGTTGAAGAGTTTTTCTCCAAAATTGATATTCCTCAATCGATTTGGCTGATGTCGCGGCCGCTTGAAATTGAAACCGATATTTGAATTTTGGGGGGTACATTGCACAAGCCCATTTAAAAAAAGGCTCCATTGTTAATTAAATTTTGTTGTTGGATACTGTGATGGAATGGTACAGATCTCATTTTCGTTAAAAACAGTGATTTTTCGAAAGTTGCAAAAATTCAAAATTTCTTTCGGCGTCTTTCTACAATTACAATTATGAAGAACTTTTTTACAATTTTTTCCGATTATGAAATCTGTTCAATATTTTAGTTGCAGGAAGACGCCCAGAAAGTTTTGAACTTATGCGAGTTCAAGTACTGAACGTTTTGAACATTCACGCCTGTTTAAGCACCTTTCGCTCTATCCAGGGAAGAAGTTTAATTAAAAAAAATTGGAGCTATTTTTGAGAAAATGTTGAGGCTTCATGTGAAGTACTCCCAAAAATAAAAATATCATTTTCAAACTCGCAGTGTCTCGACTTCGACCAGAACGAACAGGGTATTTCAATTTTTGAAAAATCGTCTAAACGGTTTAGCCGCAGCTTCATCGCGGACGGGCGGGCGGTTGGGCGGACGGACGTTCATAGAGACGTTCTGCTGTCAACCAATTTTTCGTTATCAAAGACCCAGAAAAAATGAATTCTGACTAATCAACATGTAATTCCGGGCACGTCAACGGCTAAGATCATCCCGTAAGTGTAGAGAATGTTTCCTCACTCGAACGTTTCTTCTTGAATTTTTGCAAAATGAACAATGCTTGTAAATGTACAGGAATTTGTAAATTTTCTGTTTAAAAGTACATTGCCACTTAAACGCGAGTATAATTTAAGAGTTAGTCCCTTTATGGAATACCAAGGCGATTGCTGTGTCCAATTTTCACTTTACACAGGGGGCGGGTACATACTAGTTTTAACACACGTCCTCAAAAATATTAAATCTTATTTCAATTTTTTGTGCAATGGAAGTTTTCGTACCACCAATTTAATGTCCCACACTAAATAATTTTTTTGATATCAATAAAATTAAATATACATTTTTGATATCAATACAATTAAATATAAATTTTTGATATCAATAAAATAAATGAAATTGAAATTGATCTGGGTTCCACATAGAATGCAAATTTTATATTTGCATATTTGTTGCATAATTGTATGACATAATAGTTAATACCTAACTGTTTACATGACAGAATTATTAACAGTAAAGGAAATTTCGTCTGTGATTGGCACTGACTCACTGTATAAAGAAAGGAGATTGATATTTCTTTCTTCACTTGCCCATGTGTTGATCACCTTGCCATTTGACATTTTTTACATTTTACCCAATTACTAAGGGTAAAAGTACTAAAATACCCACAAAAGACTAATGCACTTGGTCGAAAAGTTGAGTGTGATAAAGAGTATCAGTATGCAGAGTATACAGAGTCTTTATAAGCAATGCCAGTAATAGTGAACATTTCAAGGTCTGTTTGGTATCCATCTCAAGCAACAAGTAGAGGGCCCAAGGATAAACAAAAAGTGAATGCGGTAACCAGTTACGCCTGTGCGCTACAACTTTCTCCTCTTTGGCAATAGCTCAGCCCATGTTTCTTACGGATATGTACTGCCTCCACAAAGGAAACCACCACCGAAGAAAGCGCAAAGTCCGAAAATATTGCCAGTAATGAATGTTTTCATAAATTCACCGACATCATACATAGTCATTTTGCATTAGGGTTCTTCTAAGTACCGTAAAATATGGGATCGAACCCTTTGCTGAGACTAATTGTAACGCGTAACTTTGTCTGGAGGCCACAATGTTTCCTTTTTTCTTCCGTCCAGTTTGTTGTATTTGTTAGTCATGGTAAACCTAATGGCGACAAAAGCTTTTAATTTAAGATCACGCCAAAATATAGGGACTTCTACGTGTCCTCCTATATCGTGCACAGGACAGTGTGCTAGCGTTCTGTGAAACAGTCCCGGGTTCGATATCCGAAAGGGCCAAAAATGAAGCTGAAGCTTTTTAATACAAATCGTCTCGGTTTCGGAAGGTGTGTAACGAAAGAAAAAGGTCGGGCAGGCCAAATAAGGTACGGAGATGAGAATACGTCAAGCTCCCACGTGTCTCCCATACCCTCAGGCATCGACAATCCATGAAAGCAGGGCCTAGGCTTGGGAATACAGCTAGCTGGCAAAAGTTGGGAAGTACATTATTACTATTGCTATTGCTATTATTATTATTATTATTATTATTATTATTATTATTATTATTATTATTAT